ACGATCCGGCGCCAAAGCCATAGAAATACTTACCTTAGAACAAACGAGTGGGACGCGTATGCCGTTTTTATTTTCATGTTTCGTGGAAATACGTGGCCTCCGAGGGATGTTGCAGAAGTGGCACAGTTGCTTTTCAAGTTCTGACCCTCGTCATCATCTTCTGCTCTTATTTTGTAGCACCTCCAATGTTATCCGCATCAGGAAATTGCGTTTCCTTGTATTTGAGAGCGCAATTAAAAGACTGCAGCTGCAATGGAACCGCACGCGACAGGCCGCGCTTAGCAACGGACTGTATTGACGCGCGGGAATCTGCGCCGTAAAAAGGCAGTGGGCGGAGCATGGAAGAATTAGCGTGTTTCACGGCCCTGTATCTCCATTCCTGGGCATGTTTGGGCGGGGGGACCACGACACATCGACATCTGGGGGGCTGATAGTCTCATACACCCTCAATGTGTATGAGCGTACTATGTGTCTTTAAGCACAACCTGGTAGGTTTGTTTTTCCTATATACTTACCTGCTTCTTCTTCTGTATCGACTATCCCGACCATCTCGACTATCACGACCATCGCGGTACGGCGCATTGCTCCCTTCAGCAGCATCCAGGCGATCAGGACTCTCTTCACGTTTAGTAAGATGACTAAATAGAAAATCTCTGCTAATTTGCTAACTTCAAACTACAAGCTGAAAGTGACCAAGTTGTGGGGTTTCTGAAGAATTGAAATTCTGAAAGATATAAGTGAGCGCGAAGAATGAGAACCATTCCATATTAAAAAGATAGGATAGGAAATTGAGTCGGGTAAAATTTCCGAAAATTGCGCGCATTGTCATCATGAAGTCGTCAAAATATATTCTACAGATCTGTGGACCAACAACTGGGGTCCTATTTTCAAGAAACAACGTCAGAACAGCGTCTAAACCATCTTACAAAGGATGTAATAAGCAAGCATATTCTATCAAATGCTTACGCGTGTTTCTCTCCGGAAACACTAGGTTCGGAAAAAAGTAATTATAGGTACTGCATTTATGGATAATTTTGGAATTATATTGGCTCAGCACCTCTTCATTCAACGCACTAATGTAAAAATTAATTTTGGCTCGAGATCACAGCCAAAGTTCACTTCAAAAGCACCTTTAGGTGGCTATACGAACTATACAGGGGGGGGGGGCAAAAAAAGTCACTTCGACCGAGTCACATATCAGCAAAGTTTTCGCTGCCCAGACAGAGGACGTGGATACGAGTACCAGGGCGGAAGATACCCAAGATGTTCCTCTATAAGCAGGAGCTGGCTCTCGCCCATCACCTTCATGTACACCAAAATATGAAGTCATCTCCAGTCGCAGCCTGACTGGAGAAGACCTTTGGAATTCATGTCACCTCCAAACAGCTGCGAAACTTCTAGTATGGAGTCACCCATGGATAGCTACCTGGAGACCAGTACTCTCGATCTGGAATGACCTCCAACATCGAGCAGCTCCGACAACGTCGCTACGGTCTAGGACATCATCTTCACCGCAGTCGCCAAGGCGCGGGTTGATGGTATGGACCGGACGTACCTGGAATGGAAAGACCAATATTTTCTTCGTGGACCCCGGACTGAAGGTGAGCGCTGGCGGTTACATCGAGCAACTCGAGAAGAATATCCCCACATGTCGTCGCCCGTACCTTCTTGGAAACTTTGTACTGCTACAGCATTGGGTGCCACCACATGGAATCGAAGGGCGTTGGAGAAACTCTCGCCTACTTGGAATGGAAGGGGGCTGAGTACCTAAAGAAGATGGAATATCCAAGTAGGTCACCTGACCTGAATCCTCAATTACCCGGTTCGGGCGGAGTTCAATAGGGTGGTCTACGGTGGCGGAGAAATCGACTATCTCGCTGATCTCAGGCACCACATCGCGGTCGCGTGCCAGAATCTCTCGATGGCGCTCGTCCAGAAGGCTGTGGCGGAGTGTCATGATAGTATTTAATATGCTCTTTAATATGGTGGTAGAAATGTCCGATCAGAATTAATAAAGTGTAACTTATAGCGCCTCGAAAGTCAATGAAGGAAAGTGACTTTTCCCCCCCCCTGTACTACGAAACATACAATTAAATTAAAGCAGAGCCATTCCATTTCACACAAAACGTACTCATTGACGCACATGTACGTGCTGGAGCATTAGGCTCCATTCCTTTAGCCACGACCACTTTTGCGTTTTACGCGAAATTTCAGAATTTCCGAAGTTTTTACATATTTGAGCTGCTACGGGAAGTCCCGATAACTATGAGAAGCCCAATTCGCAGGCGCCCCCGCTTCGCAGGCGCCCGGCTCACTTTCGTAAAATGCCTCAAATTTTTAAGATTGAAGTCTCATCTAGTAGGTGCGGTGTCAAGAGTTGCACCACATTATCTAAAACTTGGGAAAGTACTTCAGAAATACATACAAAAGACGACGATACTCCTTAGTTGGTAGCTGAGGGCCAACAATAGGAAGTACAGCAGGTTTTTCCTCATCGTCGTCCAGATCTGAAAACATTAATTCAATCACACTAGCATATGGAAATCTAACTTATGAGTTGCGTAATGTTTTTCCTTCATATAAAACAGCTTCAGACTTCGTAATGACACATGGTTACGCGCTACCACCGCAATTGCGCTCCTGTGTAAATGACGAAGACGCATTGGACTCCAAAACAGCAGCGGAAAACACCAGGTATTCATCGGTAATTTCCGCTACTGATTTGGAAAAGTACAGAGAAGCAGGAGAGTATCAGACTGTGCGACTTTACGCATACCCTCCTGTTCTCCTACATTCTCAAAACAACGGCTGGCAAGACTGAGGTTGCGTTCAGGACTGTGGCTTCGCAGTGCGTCAATGTGCATCATCGCAAACTCTAAACGCTGCCTAAACTGAAAAGCCGAGGAAAAAAGGAGAATACACCGTCAAATTTATGTATATTGTGCACTAATCCACAGGATGTTATGTTTGTTGAGTACACTAATCTATGGGGGCAGCCCCTCGAGAACAAACGGTACACTCACCTCTGAGAATTTCGACCATTTTAAGATGGATCGGTAGCTGCAACAGCATGCCACCCTGTCCCCTCAAAAATGCACGGGTGCGGGTATAGACTCTGCAGTTGGTGGAACAGTGATGCCTTCAAGCCCGCTGTCGGTGCTGCAAGGCCAGTCACACGCCTAATCATAGCTCCACGCGCTACTTGTCTGCACCTTATCACTTCTGATTGTTTCTACCTCCGAATGCGGGTTCGCTGCAGGATTATGGTATCGACACAAATGCTACACCTTGACAATAGCGCGGGCGGAGTCCGTAGACGACGCTCCGGTATCACCACCCTTCAGTCCGTTTCTGTGACTTTTGAACGGATAATGCCGCACGCTATTGCAACTGCAAACCCATTAACCTCGCAGATGCAAGAATCGCCCTCGGAGGTGGCGGGGGGATGGGAGGACATTTTGCACTTTCTCCAGTTATTTTTGTATATGTATCACCTGTAGACTCATGTGATGTGTACACGAAGCTTATGCTGATGCATAGCTTGGGCTCTAAAAGATGGTAGAAAAGAGGACCCCTCCATTGCAGAAAAAAACCAAACCGTTCAATAATCCACAACACATAAATTACCTCTTCGACTGTCACCGCCAAATGTAGTGATGAACTGTGGTCGAGCTTCTTCCTCTGACTCACTTGAAGAACTGGATTCCAATATGGCTTTCTTCTTAGCAGCAGCTTCCACGAAACTTCAAGCATTTTCACGTATATCGACTCATGTGCAATGAAGTATAAAAGAAAATACCTGAGAAGAGAAACTGTGGCCTCATCTGGGCATCCTTTTCCTACAATGAGAGCTCGTTGCTTTTTCAAAAGCAATCGCTCGTGTTTCGAATCTCGCCCCTGAAATGCTCTGGAATACTAGAAATAATCAGAAGACAAACGTCATCTGGTTTGCTGCCCTAGACTCGTTACTGGTCATAAAATCATAGAAAGCAGCTTCTGAATGAAAAAGAAAAGATAAGCGATGGATTTGTGATGTTTCAAGAGATTAGACTCATGAAAAATTGTTTTAGAACAGCAGAACTCTAATGATGAATTACAGGGTTGCAAACGGACAGCGAGAGCTGCTTTTTCTCGGTCGATGCGCCGCAGTTCAGCTGTTTCGGCACGCGCAACAGCATCTGCATTCAAGAGTCCGGCAAAACGACCACAACGGACACCATACGACTCGCCGATACAATTCACTCGACGCTGAGATTCAGCGTCAGCTCCACGAAGGTCGAGTTCCACATCTGTAACAGGGTTACTCACTACGTGCTACACGATTGTCTGCTTATAAAACGGCATAAAGTTCAATCCCATAAGAGATTTGAAAATGATCGCGTATGTGACGCGAAGTTTTGGTGTTCCTCAGAGTTCGGCAGCAGATGGGCGACGGTGGTGCAATGGCAGGCGGGGAAACGGACAAGTCAATCGTAATTCGCCACATGGTCGCGCGCGACGAACAGTGAGCCAGATTTTCGGTGTGCATCGCTTTGCCCATTGGAGCAGCAAAACTCATATGATGTCAAGACTCAAGACAGAGACAAGACTCAGTTGCAGACTCTATCGAATTTTGTCGTTCCTTTTCCGCTTAATTCAAAGGCCATGAAGGACAACTCGTCTATCGGACGCGACCTCGCTTGGCACACTTACCAGAGCGGCATATTACGATTGTCTTGTCACATACCTAGCAGGTGGCCTGCACGCCATGGGCACGGTCCGAAGGTCAAATCCCAGATCGACGCTTGTTTGAAACAACCGATACTTCTACCTGCCGGGGTCCGGCAAATTGGTCCCCAATTCGCCTGCAGGGATAAACGCGCAACTCGTGCATCGGCTGACTCTGGCAAATCATTGTATGGGCGTTGTTGTATCCAATAACCCACTGCGATTCTGAATCAAAGTATTAGGTTGGCGGGAAAGTTCTGTCACATTTTTTAAACTAGGCTTTCTTTTTATAGAGAGGCGTGTAAGATCAAAATTGTACAGCAATGTTACTGCGGGGTCCTTGCCTGTTTTTGAGCACCTCATGGATGCCATCGCTTCACAATGCAGGGAGGCGCGATACAAAGTTGGACATCATCTCAATCTTGGCTTGAACTCAGACTTTTCGAGGTTTTCTCGTAATTTCTCGTCCAGTAATGATTGATTACGGGAGGCAACTCGCAGTTAGAAGGAGCAATGTCTGTGCTACACCACTGCAAGGGGAGAGCCATCCAGCTCTATTGCATGAGGAACGGCTAGAACTTTTTTGGAAGTGCGCTGCACTATCAGAAGCATTTGGAGGGGTCGGTGGCGATGGTAGCGGATAACATTCTTGTCCATATTGCAGAAGAAGAAGAAGCAGGAATCAAGCGAGTGGTACTAATAGAAAGACCACTCTTTGATGTATAAGTGCTCACATTGCCGTTCAAGTAATGGACAAGCATTTGAGTTCGAAAAAGTGACAGAACTTCCCGCCAACCTAATAGAATGAGCGCGACATAACAAAAAAGTATCGATCAACCACGT